TTGAGTTTGTCATGTTATCTGCGTTTATTAATGCACAATAGCCGTCTTTCAGCCTAATATCATTGTCACCAGTTTGGGAAGTCCGCTGTTTATGGCTCTTACTCAGCGTTCACTCAAATGCATGGAGACACTCGTTGAGGTGAGAATTCTCGGGATTATCTGTCCATTCCTGTGTTGTAATTTTGCTTTGCTTAGTCTACCATCTCTATACTCTCTGATATACATGGAGATACCACCATTAACATTCTATTGAATAATTCCTTTTCACAGGCTGGTGCCGATATTAACTGCAAGGGTTGCGCCATGTCTCCATTGGTATATGCTACAATGCGAGAAGGTTGTACCAACTTCATTCGGTTTCTGTTGAAGGCTGGAGCACATCCTAATATCCCCGATGATGTATGGTTTGTATTTTTTTCTATGTATTTTGCTGACTGTATCACCATACTCCATTAAAGCTTCTGGGGATACTATTATGCAACTCCTCTTATCATGTTGATGAGCTGTTTTGGGAATGAATTTAGGTTGCTTTGTGTCGTTGATTATGTCTATTCTCTTCCATCATATAACATTATAAAAATGTTGCTACTTGCTTGTATCCAACAAGTTTGCAACATCAGTATTTTTTTCCCCTTTTGAAAGAAGGTCATATCATGCATAACTTGACAGCTGATGAGCTACTGAGTTCTCACCATTCTGGGTAGCAACATTTCTCAAATGTATTCATGCAATAAACAATAGAATAAATTGATTTTTTAGTTAAGTTCATGTTCTTCATCCGTATTGTTAGTATTCATTACGATTCTTACATTGATTATACTTACATCTTGTTCATGTTATTTTTCTATATTTTAAATAGTTCCTTTCTTGAATGATGTTCTTACTTTCTGAAATAATTAATTGTTACCTTTTCTTCTGTTGGTCAGTTGGGTAGGTTGCCGGTAGTGCTTGCTGCAGTACGTGATTGCATGGAAGAGGTTGAAATGTTGTTTCCTTTAACTTCCCCAATTCCAAATGTCCCAAACTGGAGTGTTGAGGGAGTAGTTTCTCATGCAAAAATTGAAGATAAAAAGCCAAGGGTATATTGTGTCTGTTCTGATGTTGTTTTAGTATTGGATACTGTTTGAAAGCTGAACCTTTATTTTGTTCTTCAGTTCTAAATTTATTATCCATTAATGTTATTATAAGCTGTGGTTAACTGGTCATTATATGCATGGCGCCATATGTACATTGATAGAACCATGGCTTATTTTATTGGAGTAATCTTAGGTCTCCCAACTTGGGATATATCATAAAGATAGTTTTTTTACTGCTGACTAGCCTAGAAAACCTAACTATAATTTCATGAGAAGGGTAATATGATCACGCTGAGAGTGAATAAACATCATGAACCATGTGTGATACGCACTATCAACTATAGTTTAATGGAACATAATATAAACAAACCCTATATTGCAATGAATAAAAAATGATATCCAAACTAGGTAAAATCATAAAGTAAAAGAGTTCTTCTGCTTCCAAGCTTCAAAAGTGCAAACACCTGACACCTGATAAGATCGACTCTTAAAATAGGATAATTGCAGTGCCCTTTGCACAATGATATTTGCATGTAAATTTTAGGCAAGTCTCAGTTCTGTTAGCTATCATAAGCATATGTTGTGTAGAGAATAGTTGGATGCTCTCTGATGCGGGAATGCTTAGATATGGCTAATAGTTATGGTCTTATTGATCCATAGCATGGTTAGAAAATACTCCGTTTCAAAATATAAGGTGTATTAGTTTTTTTTTAAGTCAAACATATGCATGTTTGAAGTTTTTAGGAAAAATATATCAATATCTACGGTACCAAATTTGTATCATTGGATCCATCATGAGAAGTATTTTCATATTTTACTTATTTCGTATTGTAGGTGTCGATATTTCATTCTATAATCTTGGTCAAACACACACACAAGTTTGACTTGCACGGAATTAGATACACCTTATATTCTGGAATGGAGGGAGTACACAACATCATGTGCAGGGTGTGTTATTCATTAGTATCTAGTAACAATGTCACATGAACAATTATGTTTTATTTCAATGGCATACTAGCTATAAATTATGTCGCTTGAGGTGTGGGCAAATGCTATCTATCATGTATATGTCCGAGCCCTTTATCCCATTATGTACTCCCTCTGTTCCAAATTACTTGTCATAGAAATGGATGTATGTAGAACTAATAATACATCTAGATACATTCATATTAGTGGTAAGTAATTCCAGACGGATGGAGTACCTAACTGGCTAGCACATATGCAATGTGTTCTCCTTGGTTGTTTCTGTGAAAGAAGGAACACCTTGATCTGTGCTCATATTCTCATGTTTCATGTTGCCTGCCATCTACTGTGCACTGCAGGCCACACCTGGTGTTTGGTAGATTGTAACATTGTTCTGACTTTCACGACAACAATCCATGATAAAGAAAAGGATGGTCCATAATAGCATACTTCTTTGAGAAAATAGCCTTAGGGCATTCGAGTAAATCATCACAGTGAATGATGATTATTTCCGCAATTTGAACATTTAATTCCTGTTTCATTATGTAAATGTCCAGGAGCTTAGGGACCATCAAAGAAGAAGAAATTTCTTGAAGTTACAAGCTGATGCGGCATTCGAGCAGAAGGAGTATAAGATTGCATCACAGTTATATGATATGGTAAACCTCTTCCACTTATGCTATGATGGTCTAGATGAGTAAGTTTTTGCTGCCAATGGGAACTGAATTAAAATCAGTTTCTTTTCTAACTAACTAGGATTCTTACTATATACTCTATGTAGTAATTTACATTATTAACCACTTCGGGTATCAAATAGTTTTTTTCAATGTAACATGTCAGCTGTGACTGTGAATGGCACAAAAACAGAAAAATATATATTATCTGATGATCCAGAAAAGAAACGTGTAACTGGGGGACAATGATTCCATGAGCTCCATGTATTTTAAATGTAGTGCTGTGTATGCGACCATGAATATATCTGACATGAATATATCTGATTGAAGACCGACTAAAGTTACAACTAGATCGATCTAGACCCATCTAGATTAATATAATTTGAAGCAACCTTACTTTAAGAATGTGCTGAAATTCACGCATCTTAATAATTATGTGGTACAATGAAAGAAATTTCTCATGGGGTGCCCATTTAGGGCGTGGCAATTAATGAATAAAAACAATGTTTGACTGGTTCTCGACTCATATCATTATGGACATGACATAACCAATAATGGGTCACATGTATATGGTAGGTAGCGATCTAGAGATAACTTGTTAGTATGCCATGCATGTATGTACTTGACTTGATTGGGATGGTTACTCATTTGGACTAATCTTAACCGACGTAGATCATGCATATTAAGTAAATTTGACTTCACTTGAGAACATATTTGACATTCTTCGTTTGGCTTCTTATATCTTCACATTCCATGAAAACTTTTTTTTTCTTCTCAGCTAATATGAAATTTTGATGGTTGCCCATTGCCTGCGTCTGATGTGATGATGTCTACTTAGGATTGTTAACTACATATTCAAATTGACCGTAAATGTAAATTGAACAAGCCAATCAGTCTAGTAAGAGAATGTGTTCCATAACTCCATTCTGTAGTATTACTTAGTAGTAAAGTTTTTACACGGTTTTCTACTTGTCCATACATAAGCGTTGAATAAAACTCCTGTATATGGTGATTTTAAGTTGAAAATAATATTTTCATGACCTCTCATGTTTGACCATAGGCAATATGTCATGAAGAGTGTGCAACAGTGTACTGCAACAGGAGTCTTTGTAAACTGCTCATGGGTGATGGTAAAGGTGCTTTGTCAGATGCTCTCAGGTGCAGAGTGCTGCAACCTGATTGAGCAAAAGCTTGCTGTCGTCAAGGTGCAGCTCACATGCTACTCAAGGTGAGTCTAGCTTGCCAGTGTGTTCACTATTTACATATAAATCTTACATTCTGGTCACATTCCTTGATTTGCCATGCACCCAGGAGTATGAACAAGCCTGTAATGCTTTCTTGGATGCACAAGATCTGGATCCTGGAAATGCTGAAATTGAGGGTGAACTAGGGTAACCTTCTCTCTTTGCTTATCTCTTTTCCGTGTCTTCCAAATGCAAGTATGGGTTTAGGCTAGCAAATTACTTTATAGTGACCTGAAGCAGTTGCATACTTGACTATACACGTAGAGTGCCATTAGCGCACGACTCTGAAGAACTTTTTCTTATGCCGCACTTGTGGTTCAGTAACGTGTAGGACTGCCATTAGCGACTATGTCAGCCCTAGAAAGAGGAACAATGTAGCTACTGAGTTGCATATTGAGGGACTATTGTTAGCGCTGATATTTCCATTCCATTGGGCTGAATTTCTTGCAGGAAGGCTAGGGAGCTCATGAAGAATCCTTCAGGCGAAGGTGACTAGTGAGGTGCGGGCGGGCGCAGGCTGGAACATGTTCTACTTTTCACTGAAGTGGAGATAGCGGGAACTTCTAATCCTTGTGTCTTGATTTGAATTTCATGGGAAACTGCAGACTGCTACAACGAGATTTTGTATGAAATTTTCTCGTCTTGCCTGTGGATCGTACTTGCCGTATGCAATTACTTTTATTTTGGATGAGTACTTTTGGATTTTCAATCATTGAGCAAATTGATTAAATGCATCATCAAACATGGACTAGTTCATGATGGCGCACTCTACTCTCTATGTGACCCTCGCCACTCCCAGCGACTAACATAGTGTCAGGAGCCGGTGCAGCCTGCTATTTGATCTGCTGATCGATCTATCCCCAGTAGCGGTTGACTTGGGCACGACCCCTTTTGAGTTCGTGAGAGTGAGAGAAATTTGCTTTCTTTTTCTCCTTGCGTGAAGATTGAGAGCTTTATTGATTAATGAATAGGATTACAATCCAGAGCCAAAAGGCCTTGGAGGTTCTCAGGGGCATCTTGTAACCACAGATCGATACGATGCTTGGACCGCAAAAGTTCTAGGAAATCTTTAACCCTACACTGACTTTCTATCTCCCTCTCTTGAAAATTACAGAACAATTAAGGGCAACTCAGACGAGCCGACCCAAATGCTCTGACGGACAGGCGACTGGCCCATGTCCGTCCTTCCCTGGGCAGTGCACACATAGTCTGTCATTTCCCATTTAGACCGAAGCTAGGAAGGAGACACATAGAGCTAGAGACTAAATACCCCGTTTGCTTAAGAATGAAAGAAGATGGAGGTCACTGCTTTTCTAAATGCAAGCCAGTCAAGCACTTACGAAGATTGGTGGAAATGGAGGAAGTCTGACTTGACTTATTGAGTTGTGTAAGTCCCACCGAAATCATCTTTATCCTGCTACAGATGGGTGGTGGATAAAGAAAAATGATACGGGGTATGCGCAGTGGCTATGGTGGCATGAGAGGAATAAAGAAAATGTTGGAGATTAAAGAAGGAACATACAACAAGTAGCCTAATCAATAGAAGGGCACAACTTGGAGTATGAGGAACATCTTAGGCAAATGAAGGTGCGTAGGCCAGCTCAGAAAGAACAGAAAAGGTGGACTCCTCCACCGTTTCTTAAATCGCCACATCCTTGATATAGGCACTTCAATGGGAGGCTCGGGATAATCGGAAATGAAGATGAAGGTGTAGAAGCGGCAGGACGCTCTGCAAGCAGAGGCCTTGGCGTTCATGAAGGCAATTTGCGAGCGATGGGACTAGGCTTGTGAGACAGATTGCCTAGTGCTTAAACATGTTACAGTTACTGCTTAAACATGTTACGGTGAGCAATGCGCATGATTTGGCAACACGTGGATTTATTTTTTCAGGAAGTCAAGCATTTGCTGAATATGTACTTTGATTCGGTTAACGTAGGCTATTACCCAAGGGCTTGTAATAATGTTGCTCGTGCACTAGCAGCTCGTGGTGCATGTATGGGTGAGAGAGAATCCGGGCAAAGGTTCTCTGAAATCCATAACTTTGTACTCCCTCCGTTCCAGTTTGTAGTGCGCATAAGTTTTTTAGCGTTATTCCACTATGTAGTGCGTATAAGCAACTTTGTGCTCTTCTGGACGAAACTAACCCCGCAACTGCACGGACGCACCCATGGCCTTTATCCCCTTCCTCCCGCACACAACACGCATCACAGGCGGCCGGGAGTCGGGATTGGACCAGCAGCGACGAGGACCACGCCATCGCCTCCCGTTCCCCTGCTCCGGCGACAAGGAGCAACGGCCGAGGACCACGGCGGATGGATCTTGGAGCGAACATAGCGGCGGCACCTAAGCTTGGGCAGCTCCACGAGGACATGCTTGAGCGCGTCCTCGCTTCTTGAGCCTCTGGTGCGTGTGCCGGTAGTGGCGCGAGGCCGCGGGGTCGCCTGCCTTCCTCGCCGCCTGCGCATGCCTCTCCTCCCGACCGCATCGAGGAGATTGTTGTGGCGAGGCGGTCAGGTGTGCCGCCGAAGACCTCCTGTGAGCTCTGGGTCGGCCTCCTTTCCTCTGTGTCGGCCGGATCCAGGAGATTGCGGTGGCGAGGCGGCCGGCGTCATCACATCCGCAGCCGCCTTCTCCGCGTCCGCTGCCAGCGGCCGGCATCACCGCGTCCTTGGCCGCCTTCTCCACGTCTTCCACTGGCGGCCAGCGTCCACCGCAGGCGGGCAGCAGCACCGCGTCCGTGATGGTGGCCGGTGTCCCCGCTCTGCTTCTCCGTGTCCATGGTCAGCATCAACGCGTATACTGCCGACGGCCAGTGGCACCGCCTGCGGCCAGCTTCTCCCCTTCCGCCGCCGGCGGCCGGCGTCACCACGCCCGCGGCTGGCTTCTTCCCTTCCACCGGCGTTGGCCGGCATCACCACGCCCGCGGCTGGCTTCTTCCCTTTTGCCGGCGTCGGAGCGTCCCTGGCTGCATGTCCACGCCGGTGTTTGCTAGCTAGTACTAGTACTAATTGTGTGTTCGAGGAACAGGAAAAGCAGGGCTATTCTCGTCCAAAGCCAGCCTCCAGCGCATGTCTTGGTATTAGAGCCTGAATCTATGCGCACTATATTTCGGAACGGAGGGAGTACTTGCAACCTGTACCCAGTGATCTTGCTAGGCAGACTGCTGTAATGGAACAATCAAGACTCAAGGTACTCCGTCTCAACAACAACAACAAAAAGCGCCACCCCAGCTGCTCCCATAGCCCCTGGTAAGGGCGAGAGCGACATGGAGAACAGAGTGTGCTACTAAGTGAAAGAGTGCGCCGTTTTAAACTAGCCCATGTTGATGTTGCATTTAATCCATTTGCTCAATAGTCAAAAATGTAAAACGTACGTGTCAAACGACATATATGGTGGCCCTACTTGCTGCACCTTTGGGCCTCCTGATGCCAACCGAACCTTAGATAGATAGAGGTAGTCTGTTCAAATATTCTGTTATCATTGTAACTAGATATCTCTCTATTCTATCTCTTGTTCTTCAAGTTGTACTCGATCCAATCTTTACGCTAACCCAGGGAGTTGCGCCCCTGGCTATTTAACATGAAGCCGTCGCCCAGAGCTAGGGTACGACGTTCTCCCACATGGTATACAGAGCCTAACTCTTCCCATCTAGTTTTTCCTCCTCCTTCCACAACCACCTTGCCATGGCCTCCTCCAGCACCACCTCCTCTGCCCTCTCCGGTCAGATCACCGAACGGCTGACCCGCACCAATTACATCCTGTGGCGTACCCAAATTACGCCGCAACTGAGAGGAGCAGGCTTCTTCGGCTATGTCGATGGAAGCATCCCGGAGCCGGCCAAGATCGTCGTCAGCAAGGACAAGGATGGAAAGGAGGCGACCATCCCGAATCCACTCAATCCCATCTGGGTTCGAGAGGATCAGCAGGTACTCGGATATCTTCTGAACAATCTCTCCAAAGAAGTCTTGGTGCAGGTGACGTCGATCGCTCATGCACACGAGCTCTGGACGGCATTGGCGAGCATGTGCTCGTCAACCTCGCTGTCACGCGTCAACAACATCCGTGCAGCTCTCACCAATGCGCAGAAAGGGACGTAGTCGGTGGCCTCCTTCTTCGCGCATATGCGTGGCCTCGCCGACGAACTCGCTGCGGCTGGCAATCCATTGCAGGATGATGAACTGATCTCCTACATCCTCAATGCGCTTGACATGGAGTATCAGCCGCTGGTGTCTACCCTTGATGCACGCACCATCCCAGTCACCCTCGACGAGTTGTTCGCTCAGATGAGCAACTTCGATCAGCGGGTGGCCCTCTTCCAAGGAGTTGCAGAAGGCGGCTTCAAATCTTCTGCCAACGCCGCCACTCGCGGTCGTGGCGGGAGTGCACGTCATCGCGGCCCGCCCCGGAGCAGCAAGGGCAAGGGCACCAGTGGCGGCAACAGCAGCGGCATCAACAACGCACGCGGCGGCGGCCGGCCCTCCTACACCAACACTAGAGGCTGGCGCAACAACAACTCCAACAACAAGTCGCGTCCTGACACGGTCAGGTGCCAAATCTGCGGCAAGCCGGGCCACTCGGCGAAGGATTGCTGGTACCGTTATGAGGAAGATGAAGATGACTCATCTCAAGATGAGAAGGTGGCCGGAGCAGCTGATGGTTCCTATGGCGTCGACACCAACTGGTATGTCGACAGCGGTGCCACAAATCACATCACCGGCGAGCTGGAGAAAGTGACCATGCGTGAAAAATACCGTGGCAAGGATCACATCCACACTGCTAGTGGAGAAGGTATGAAAATTAGCCATATTGGTGACTCAATTGTCAAAACCCCTCACCGAAAAATTCATCTTAGGAAAATTTTGCATGTTCCTAGTACTTCAAAAAATCTTCTTTCTGTTCACCGCATTGCCATTGACAATCATGTCTTTCTGGAATTTCACCCTCTCTTCTTTTTGATCAAGGATCAGGCAACGAAGAAGGTGCTATATCGAGGTAGATGCGTTCGTGGACTTTACCCCTTGATTCCGGAGATTAGAAGATTGAATAAACAAGTGTTTAGTGCCACCAAAGTGTCTTCAACACGATGGCACGATCGTTTAGGACATGCATCTTTTTCTTTAGTTGAGCGATTGCTTAGGAAAAATAAGCTCCCATATGTTGGAGAGCGCGATATTGAAACAGTTTGTGATTCATGTCAAAGGGCTAAAAGCCATCAATTACCCTATCCAGTTTCTACAAGTATTTCTACCAAACCATTGCAACTTATCTTTTCTGATGTTTGGGGTCCTGCCCCCTCCTCTGTTGGTAGACATACATACTATGTGGGCTTCATTGATGATTACAGCAAGTTCTCATGGATCTATCTTCTTAAGAAAAGATCCGATGTGTTCCAAGTTTTTCTAAATTTTCAAGCTCTTGTTGAACGCCAGTTTGATAGTAAAATTCTTGCTCTTCAATCTGATTGGGGAGGGGAATACGAGAAACTAAACTCTTTCTTCCAAAAACTTGGAATCTCCCATCATGTGTCTTGTCCGCACGCTCACCAACAAAATGGGCCTGCTGAACGCAAACACATACACATTGTAGAGGTTGGTCTAGCTCTTTTAGCTGGCGCATACATGCCCCTCAAGTTCTGGGATGAGGCTTTTCTCACTGCTGTGCACATCATCAATATGCTCCCTAGTCGTGTTATTAATAATGAAACTCCTATGGAAAGACTCCTTCACACTAAACCAGACTACACCTCTCTTCGTGTGTTTGGGTGTGCTTGTTGGCCTAACCTACGCCCATACAACAATCGCAAACTCATGTTCCGCTCTAAGCAATGTGTTTTTCTTGGCTACAGTGCCAAACATAAAGGGGTTAAGTGCCTCGATGTTCCTATAGGTCGGGTCTACATCTCTCTGATGTAGTCTTTGATGAAACAAAGTTCCCGTTTTCCGATCTTCATCCCAATGCCGGTGCACTTCTTCGTCAAGAAATTCTTCTTCTCCCATCTAGCCTCACCGGTCTTGATCAAGGGGAAGATAATTGTGTTGATCAATTAATGACTAATTCTCATAACCATGTACTTGAGCTTTGTGATGATGCAGATGAAAACGGTGAAGAAAATGGTGCAAAAATCGCCCAAAACGGTGAAGGAATCAGCCCCCAAACGCAACATTTTATGTGTCCAGGGCTAGGGCGTAGATCCCCCTCGGGATCGGAGCTGCAGCAACCCAGCAGCGAATCTGCCTCGGGATCGGCGCAGCAGCAGAACCGCAGCCCACGGGAACCTGTGTCGCCTGCCAGGCGCGCCTCCAGCGACCCAGCGCCTGGCACGCGGCGCCCCTCCACCGGCTTGGGCGTATCTCCTGGCGCGCACCAATCAGGTGCCGGGGCGCGGAGCCGCTGGCCCGCAGATGGGCCCCGCCACTACACCCGACGCCAAACGACCGGGGCCATCCCCAGCCGACAAGAGGCAGGCGCGGAGCCCCGTGCTGATCTGTCTGGTGGCGCACGATCCGGTGCGGATTCGCCCAGGCCCACGCCATCATTACGCCATGATGGGGGTTCGGTGGACCCCAGCCAGACGGGGGATCTTCTACGCCGGCTGTAACGCAGCTGCTGCAGACTTCGGCCACAGAAAATCCTGTGGATCCCTCATCTGGTGCGACAGGAGCGCTGGAAGGATCTGCCTCGGGATCAATCGATGCAGCAGCTGGATCTTCTGCGCCAAGCAACGCTACAGCAGCATCTATTCCTTCGCATACACGCTTACAGAAAGGGGTAACAAAACCTGTCAATTATAAGCAAATAACAAAATTCGGTCTGGCATGTTCAACGGGTGAACCAAGTACTCTTGAGGAGGCATTTAGTGATACACGGTGGAAAAAGGCTATGGAAGAAGAATGCATGGCACTCCGAAAAAAGGAAACATGGCATCTAGTTCCCCCACAGCAAGGTAAAAATTTAATTGATTGCAAGTGGGTTTTCAGGATTAAAAGAAAGTCTGATGGAACTATAGATCGCTACAAGGCCAGACTTGTTGCAAAAGGATTTAAGCAGCGATATGGGATTGATTACGAGGACACATTTAGTCCTGTTGTGAAAGCAGCAACCATTCGTCTTGTACTCTCCATTGCTGTTTCCAAGGGATGGAGTCTTCGACAGCTAGATGTACATAACGCGTTTCTCCATGGTGTTTTGGAAGAAGAAGTCTACATGAAACAACCTCTTGGGTTTGTAAGTAAAAGCAAACCATTTCATGTCTGTAAACTTGACAAAGCTTTATATGGACTGAAACAGGCTCCTCGTGCATGGTACTCACGGCTCAGTCAGAAGTTGCAGACACTCGGTTTCATTCCTTCTAAGTCTGACACGTCTTTGTTTATCTATAATAAGTCAAATACATCCATATTTGTTCTTATTTATGTTGATGATATTATTGTCACAAGTTCGTCAGATGCGGCAGTGACAGGACTGTTGAAGGATTTGAGTGCTGAGTTTGCTCTTAAAGATTTGGGAGACCTGCATTTCTTTCTAGGGATTGAAGTCAAGAAACATGGGAGCAACCTTCATCTCTCCCAAGAAAAATATGCTAATGATCTGGTAAGAAGAGTTGGGTTGCAAGGGTGTAAGTCGTCCCCAACTCCATTATCTAGTACAGAAAAATTGTCCCTTGCAGAAGGAGAGCCTCTGAATCAAGAGGATAGTACCAGATACATGAGTTTAGTAGGAGCACTTCAATACTTAACTTTGACAAGACCTGACATTTCCTTTGCTGTGAACAAAGTGTGTCAGTTTCTTCATGTTCCAACCAAGACTCATTGGACTGCCGCAAAGCGCATAGTGAGATATGTGAAAGATACTATGAATCTTGGCCTTACTTTCAGCAAGTCCTCATCTACTCTTGTTAGTGCTTTTTCTGACTCTGATTGGGCTGGATGTATAGATGACAGACGCTCCACTGGTGGGTTTGCAGTATTATTCGGTCCAAACTTGATATAGTGGTGTGCAAAAAAACAAGCCACTGTGTCAAGGTCCAGTACAGAAGCTGAGTATAAGGCACTAGCAAATGCCACAACTGAGATTATTTGGGTTCAGTCCATGTTGAGGAAGCTTGGTGTGAAGCGCACTCAAGTCCCATGCTTATGGTGTGATAACCTTGGTGCTACCTATTTATCTGCTAATCCAGTGTTTCATGCCAGGACAAAACATATTGAGATAAATTTCCATTTTGTCAGAGAAAGAGTTGCAAACAGGCAATTGGAAATTCGCTTTGTGCATTCACAAGATCAGGTTGCAGATGGATTTACGAAGGCATTGCCTACAAGGAATTTTGAGGAGTTCAAGCATAATCTCAACTTGACAAAGTTGTGATTAAGGGAGGGTGTTAAACGACATATATGATGGCCCTACTTGCTGCACCTTTGGGCCTCCTGATGCCCACCGAACCTTAGATAGAATATTCTGTTATCATTGTAACTAGATATCTCTCTATTCTATCTCTTATCTCTTGTTCTCCAAGTTGTACTCGATCCAATCTGTACGCTAACCCAGGGAGTTGCGCCCCTGGCTATTTAACACGATGCCGTCGCCCAGAGGTAGGGTACGACGTTCTCCCACAGTACGCACCCAAAACAACATAAATTGCATACGGCAAGTACAATCCACGGGCAAGACGAGATAATTTCAGACAAAGTCATGTTTTAGCACTCCGCAGTCACGAGTTTTTCCGCGTGAATTTCGTAGCACAACACAAGGATCAGAAGTTCCTGCTATAGCTCTACTTTACTGAAAGGTGGAACATGTTCCAGCCTGCGCACGCCCGCGCCTCACTGCTCACCTTCGGCAGGAGGATTCTTCATGAGTTCCCTAGCCTTCCTGCAAGATTTCAACCGGTTGGAATGGAAATGTCAGCTCTAGCTAGCAGTAGTGCCTCAATATGCAACTTAATAGATAACCACACCATTCCTCATAGTAGGTCCAGCCCTACACGTTACTTAGACACAGGTGGCGCATAAGAAAGAAAGAAGTTCTGTAGGGGTGTGCGATATTGGCATTTGACGTGAAATAGTCAAGTATGCGACTGCTTCTCATCACTGTAAACGTACTTTGTCAACCTAAACCGTAGCAGCATTTGGAGGCACTCAAAAGAGACGAGCATAAGAGAGTAGGTTACCATAGTTCATGTTCAATCTCAGCATTCCCAGGATCCAAGTTTTGTGCATCCAAGAGAGCATCACAGGCTTGCTTATACTCCTGGGAGTAGAGCAAATCATATATCAGTATATCAATTATGGAGTAAGTCATCGGTGGACACACTGGCAAAGCTAGAGGCACCTTGAGTAGCATATGAGCTGCAGCTTGACGGTAGCAAGCTTTTGCCCAATCAGGCCGCAGCATTCTGCACCTGAGAGCATCTGACAAAGCACCTTCACCATCACCCATGAGCAGTTTACAGACACTCCTGTTTGCATACAGTGTTGCACTCTCTCCATGATCTATTGCCTATGGTCAAAAGTTGGCCATCCAAATATTATTCTCAAAACTTAATAATGCAGATGGAGTTGGAACACATTCTCTAACTAGATTGATTGGCTTGTTCAATTTACATGTACCTACGTATGATCAGTTTGGGTACAGTTAAACTAACCATTTGATGACACACCACACACATTAACAGAGGCAGTAGACAAACATATCAAAGATTCATATTAGCCAAGAAGGAGAAAAGAACTTCTCATGGAAGTACTCTCTTTTTTCTAACGTGCGCAGATGATGCCAATATAAGTTTCTTAAGTGAAGTACTGAAGTCAAATTTTCTTAGTAGTATGCATATTAATCTCTGTCAGTGAAGACCAGTCCCAAAAAATTAGAGTGAAGATCAGTTTCAGTCAGTGACAAATAAGGTGAAATCATACATGGCAAATTAATAAGCAATATGTCATGTCCCAGTCCTACTATTCATTGTCAATAACATTGTTTTTCGACAATCAGAGCACATATTTACATTAAAAATGGTCTGATATTGTAAGGTTAGATAATAAGAAACCTAGATAGAAAAAATAAATGCTGTCCAACTAGATCCCTGTTAACACACAAAAATTATCTTCGAAACCATCATAGATTAAGTGCAAGAGATTTACCAGACCATAACACTCTGATGCCATCTTATACTCCTTCAGCTTGAATGCTGTATCAGCCTGTGACTTGAGCAAACGTTGTCTTCTTTCACGGTGTCGTTGCTCCTAGACAATAAGTAAAATAAACATGAAATGGATATTTGAATTCTAGAAGTAATCATCATCTACTATGATAATTTCCATCACAAAAAGGAAAAACAGCAACCTTGTGTTCAACATTCTACATAGCTTAGTATCTACTCCCTCCGTTCCGAATTACTTGTCGCAGGTATGGGTGTATCTAGATGTATTTTAGTTCTAGATACATCCATTTCTATGACGAGTAATTTGGAACGGAGGGAGTAGGTGGCAAGCTCTTTCACATAATTATGCTGCATGCATATGGCAAATGCCACATCAAATGGAGAAATTTGTTACTGGTCGGAAGCACAGAGTCAAGGTCTTGAAAGGACTCCTCTGCAATTATAGGTATAGAAAATGCACCAAAAATGGAGGAACATAAGCCTCTTGTGTCTTCTTCAAAAGAAGTATACGACTAGTACTAGAGCACTGTTATCCTTTTCTTTACCACTAAATGATGTCGCTAAAGCTAGAACAATGTTTTTCTTTTGCGGGGAAAAGTTAGAAAAATGTTACAATCTATGAAAACACCAAGTGGGGCCTGCAGCGCAAAGTAGATGGCACGCAATAGGAAACATGGGGACATGAGCAGAGATCAATGTGTTTTATCTTTCACGAAAATAACCAAGGGGAAAACAGCGCGTATGTGCTTGCAAGTGCAACATAATTTTAGAACAAGTGTGTTACTTAACTAAAATATATTGTTCATGAGACATTATTACTACTATACTAACAATTAGCACAGCCGGTACATGATGCTGGTGTACTTCACAACCACGCTATGAGATCCATGACTATGAGCAACATTCAATAGTCCTGTACCAGACAGCACTAACTAATCCACAGTATTTCAAGAAGTTAATGGCAGTTACTTGAAGTGAGACTGCCATACAATCTATATGCAACTATCATTTCACAAAGAGTACACCAATTGCCTTATCTTAAGAGTTGATCTTATCAGGTGTAAGGTGTTTGTACTTTTGAACATTGGAAGCAGCAGTACTATTTTCCTCAGTTATTTCTACCAATTATCCAACAGAAAAACAGAATTTGGTTAGCATTTTCTATTCATTACAATCATTACCCTTCCAAATTACAGTTGGTGGTTTATCCTAAGAAAACCCCATAATGTGGTGTAGTCTACATAGTAACCACTAACCAGAGCTTACAATAATACTGAATGGACAGATATCAGGACTGAAGAACAAAACGATGGCTTAGTTTTCAAGCAATATTCAATATGGAAACGACATACAAACAGAAACTATCAAAATAACATACCATTGGTTTTTTATCTTCATTTTTCAAATGGGAAATTACCCCTTCAATACTCCAGTCTGGGACAGTTGGAATTGGCGTAGTAAAAGGAAGCAACATTTCAACCTCTTCCTTGCAATCTCGTAATGCAGCAAGCTCTATCGGTAACCTACCCAACTGGGCAACAAAAGAAAAAAGAAATGTCACTTATTTCGTATATTGAAGACATCAATAAAAAAGGAAACCATAGCGATAATAACATAAGAACCTGATCATTCATAACTTAGAATCGATGTAAATAATTATAATATTGTCAGAAAGAACCAGGATCACTGTAATTATCAAATATTTCAACAAGGAGAGAATTCCGACAACTGGGATGAAGAACTACATAATTAAGCTAAAGAGGTGAATTTATTTCAGTTTGTATTGCATGAGTCATTGGAGAAATGGTGGATACTTCCATACTGCCGCTACAAACTGATATCTCAGTATCTCATCAACTGTTTAGAATACATATATAGCAAAGGAACATGAACATTGTGTAATGTACTCTCGATGCAGAAAAATTTAACATTGTGGGAAGGAACCAGGATCTATGTAATATTTTCATCAAATGTTCCAACAAGGATTTACCCGAAAAGCATTATAAATTTGCTAAGCAATTCAAACTGCCAACACACAAGGTTTCAAAGAGAGGCATTTCAGCAGATGTTGAGACACCACAAGACTCAGACACCACAAAAGTGCATATTTTTTAAATACCTCGATATTTGTATATAAAACAGGAATACATATACTACTACCTAGGTGGTCTTATGTACTCCCAGTTACGGTAGATACTTCCATACTGCCGCTACAAACCAAAAAAGTAGGCATGTTTCTTCAATAGGAAATCAACAATTGATGATGAACAGAAAATAATAAAGTCTATTGATATAGACCATTGAGAATTGGGCTGTATCCCAATGGTGGATGTGGAGTGAGGTCACCCTACCACGAGAGTTCGATTCCCGTGAGGTGATATCTAAGTCGCCCACATAGGTCTTTTTTAATGATAAAGATTGTTAGAATGAAAGGTCAACACAACTTTACTAAGAACAAGCATCAATTTCCCACCTAGTCAACGGCACAAAGCAACCTAAACTCACTGCTAAATGGCTTCTTTGAATAATAGCATCACCAGAAGATTTGATAGTATATAGTGAAATTCTGCATACTAGGACAGCAAAATATATAGAAAATATACGAAACATACATCATCGGGAATATTAGGATCAGCTCCAGCCTTCAACAGAAACTTAATGAAGTTGGTATAACCTCCTTGCAGTGTAGCAAACACCAAAAGTGTCATAGTGGAAGCTTTGCAATTAACATTGGCACCAGCCTGTAAAGAGGATTATGTAATAGAATGTTCAGTGTTATCTCAATGCACATCAGCATATAAGCATGGCAGCGATGACATAAAGGTAGAGTAGAGAAAATCAACACATAGCTATGATTAATAATCAAGAGAATACTCACCTTAATGAGTAGCTTCATGCACTTCAATGAACGGTAAATAAGAGTGCTCAGCAGGGGAGTAGTAGCACCGCTGATAATGATGTTAGGCTGAAAGCAGAGTATTGTGTTTTGTATTAAGAAACACAGGTGGCATGATAAAGTCAAGAGTTCCTAATAAAAAAGAATGTCATCATATAATTTACTGGTGTGTCTGGTGGTTTTTCGAGGGATAAAATGTAAGTCAACAATCCAATCCTAATCCTGATCTAACAAGCTTGTTTGTTTCGAGGATTGAAATGGATTGCTCCATCAATCAATCACACTTCAAGATCTCTACTGAATTTCATAAACCTAGAAACATATTTGCAGTATCTAAGTATGTTTTACTCCAAGCAACCAAAACACCCCCAGGACAAGACATATTTGCCCACGTCATCTAACTAGTTGGCAAACTAACAATCATCTGTCCAAATTAACTCTGAATCAACAGAAATAGGAAATAGAGGAGGCTATATACATTTGCGTGGTGGTCCAATAAAATCTTCAGCGTCTTATCCTGCTCATTTGTAGCAGCCATGAAGAGTGGTGGTCCACGGCCACAGTCTATGTCGACTGGCACCCCTTTTGAAAGGAGGAACTCTGTTACCTTGCAGCATCCTGTAGTGAATGAGATGATTCCGTAAGTCATGTTTTGCCATAACAATGAACAAACCAAGTGTAGTAGAGTAAATAACATCATGTATGTATGCGCGTATCAAGGGGAGAACCTGCCGAGACAGCATGGTGGAGAATTGTGCGTCCCTTGTCATCTGCTTTCATTAGATCACCACCATGATCAAGGAAGTACTTGACAGTGGGAACATCACTAGACTGAGCTGACATCATAAACGGAGTTGCACCTGTAAGAAAAGCACATATCAACACAATCTCGATCGCCTACTAGAAAACATTGGCGTGGCAGACATCGATTTAGAAAATGGGGAAAGAAATAGAGAAAGACCTAGAGCTACGCTTCCAATTCTAGGAGCATTCACATCTCCCCCAAGGTCCTCCACCAAATACTTGCAAACCTCCAGATGGCCTCCGCATGCCGCACCATGCAACGCACCAACTCCATCTTTGTTGAAAGAAAAAATCGCCGATGGGCCACCATTCCCCCGAGTAAGACTGTTTACAATATCTTTCCGCACAGAAACAATATCACATTACATAAATAGACAACCATATCAACAAAATTGAAAACCGAAAGAAAAAAGGAAACATGTATGCAATGCATAAGAACCTCAGAGTCCAAAGGAACCGATTTAATGCATTCATGGACACAATTATGCAGTGAAACTCTTGTCGGCATATCAATCTAGAGTACTTGACTATACTGTAAATTTGGTTGTAAACAGAATCGTGTCCCATCATCAAAAGATGCAAGATTTACACCCTGATTTGTTAAGATAAAAACACTGCTCATCTGAATTTTGTTTTAACCGGAATGCTCGTCCGGATTTCAGGAGGGAGACTAAGTATGAAATCTTGTAATTACTAGTAGATAATAAAATTGCTTGGTCATCGCTACTAATCCAACGCCGATGTTTCTAAATGGTGAATGCAATAAAACAAGCAATACATAGCATCTGATAAATCAAGACACCCGTAGCAACACAGGAAATAGAATCTGATAAGCATACTATTTTCCGAACAAGCGGTGGTGGATGGTTAGGCGCCTCAGCAATGTAGCATGTCCGAACAACCTCCGACCCCACAGACACAGCACACACATGGCATGACTAGACTAGAACGGAAATGAGGAAAATGCACAGGATTGAGGCGGAGAGGAGGAGAAAGTGCTACCTTTGAGGCGGCCGAGGTTGCCGTGGAGCTCCGCCATGAGGAGAGCGTTCTCATCTGCACACACGCGCGCACGTATGATCCCGGTCAAGAATGCAGCCATAGAGCGAGGCAGAGAGAAGGGATGATCGCGGTAGCAAACCAGAGGGGGTAGGGGGACGTACCGGTGCCGCCGTCGCCGGAGGGGGCGCAGTAGACGAACGGAGCCGCCGCCATGGCCCAGTCCCGCCGGCCTCGCTCGTGCTCGCGGGGTGGAGGTGGGCGACGCCGGAGAAATCCTGCGGTGCGGCGCGGGGGACTGGGGTTTTCAGCCTGGGCTGGGTTGCCCAGGCTGGGGTTTTCAGTCTGGGCTGGGTTGCCCAGCGGCGGGGAAAGCGAGGGCGGTGTGGAGTGGATGAACCGGTGCTGGTGCACTGCCCGTGCTCTCTCCGAGTCTTGCCCCTGCGCGTGCATAGACCCGGTGCACCCGGAACTCGTCGCTCGGTAGTAAACCCATCTGACTCGGAGGTTTCATACCCACTCGCAATGACAACGGGACACACAAGCGCGAGAGAATCTTGTCAGTGAGTAGGTACACGGCGGGTAGAGAGCAGGACATGTGACGCTGGTGCGGCGGGGCGCCAAGATCATAGCGCGCCACTGGTCGGTGGACACGTGTGCACCAAGGACGAGGCAGAAAGGCTGCCGCTTCGACCTGCCCACCCACGCAGATGGCGGGGAGGAACCGTAGGCGCCAGCTAGCGGCTCAGTGCTCACGCACCGCTGGGAACATCGAGCGAATCACGGCCCTTGTATTTTGAAACAACGGCCGTGATCCAGTGCTATAATGCACATACGGTGGGGAGTGATCTGCAACCGAAAAAATAGGGAATGATTCAATGCTACAAGTCACACACGCTGGGCCGTTGTGGAGTGATGTGCAGCAGAAAAAATGGTGCCGCTCCAACATCCAGCCCGTTTGACTCACTCAATGTTTGACATGCTGACCAGTTTCTATTGATTTTCTTTTCACTAGGGTATGGCATTATGAAAGAAAATAAACTACATCCCTGATTGGGAAACTAGTTCATACTGTCGCATTCCACACAAACAATAGTAAACAAAAAAAAAAGAATCTCCAAACAAGTATTGAAGAAAAAGCAGAAGATCATCTGTAGCCTCTAGCAAACATTAAATAAAACTGGACTAAAGAGTTGTCGCTTCGACTCTATCCAAATTGGAGTTAAAAGAGGTAGTGAACAACACCTTTTCAGCACCCACTCGCAACTCAATTTAGAGGCCATAGATAACCTTCCTCCTTACGTACAATACCTTTTTTGGTAACTTTTATTGAAGCTTGTTAGGGCATGGCCAATGGGCTGCCTCAAACCTGCTGCCCCATTGTCCACCTAGGTTCGGATGCCACGTTGTAAAAAAAGTGGTAGCCCTGCAGGTCCTGGTGTGGCTTGCAGAAGAGCCGGCTGCTCCATGCGAGAAACCAGGAGAAAGTGGGGAGAAAGAAGAAAAGTAGAGGGAAAGCAAGCTGGAGATGGTCCCAGGAGGTGAAAAAAGAGATGAGAATCAGAAAGGAAAGAAGATGGTGGTGGGTTCCACAGAAGGGTAGCTTCACGTTTAACATTGGATGAAAAAAAATGGAACTGGTAGCCCCATTTCCTTGATCATAGGTGGCTGAGCTGGGGCAGCACCTAGGTGCTGCCACCATTGTACATGCCCTTAGGGCATAGCCAATGGTTAGCCTCAAAGGTGTTGCCCCGCAGAGGAGGTTGCTGCTTAGTTAATAAAATGTGTAGGAAAAGGAAGGGGAAAGAAGGAATGAGGGGAAATGATGTAGCTGTTAGGGAATGTAGCATTCAATTTTCAAAAAAATTCCTACGCTCACGCAAGATCTATCTAGGAGATGCATAGCAACGAGAGGGGGAGAGTGTGTCTACGTACCTTCGTAGACCGTAAGCGGAAGCGTTTGACAACGCGGTTGATGTAGTCAAACTTCTTCTAGCTCCGACCGATCAAATAACGAACGTACGACACCTCTGAGTTTTGCACACGTTTAGCTCGGTGACGTCCCTCGCCTTCTTGATCCAGCAAGGTGTCGAGGTAGTAGATGAGTTCCGTCAGCACGACGGCGTGGTGACGCTGATGGTGAAGTGATCCGCACAGGGCTTCGCCTAAGCACTGCGAGAATATGACCGGGGGTGTAAACTGTGGAGGGGGGCACCGCACACGGCTAACAATTGATGTTGTGTTGTGCTAGGGCACCCCCTCACATAAATATAGGTTGGAGGGAGAGGGGAGACAGCCATGGGGCTTCCCAAGTAGGATCCGAAACCTACTTGGGGTTTTCCCAAGTGGCGCACCCCTTCCATAAATTGCCAGAGGGGGGAGGAAAGGGGGAAGAAGGAAGTAGTACTTCCTATTTTTTCTTTTTCCATTTCCCTCTTTCCCTCTCCTATTTGGTCGACCCATATGAGGGGCGACCAGCCCCTTGTGGCTGGTGCATTTCCCCTCTTGGACCAATAGGCCCATATCTTTTGCCGGGGGTGCCCGGAACCCTTTCCGGTGACCCGATATGTACCCGGTACCCTCCGGAACACTTTCGATGTCCGAATATATTCATCCTATATATCAATATTTACCTCTCGGCCATTTCGAGACTCCTCGTCATGTACGTGATCTCATTCGGGACTCCGAACAACATTCGGTCACCAAATCACATAACTCATATAATACAATATCGTAATCGAATGTTAAGCATGCGGACCCTATGGGTTCGACAATTATGTAGACATGACCGAGACACCTCTCCGGTCAATAACCAATAGAGGAACCTGGATGCTCATAGTGGCTCCCACATATTCTACGAAGATATTTATCGGTCAAACCGTTATGACAACATACTTTATTCCCTTTGTCATCGGTATGTTACTTGCCTGAGATTTGATCATCGGTATCTTCATACCTAGTTCAATCTCGTTACCGGCAAGTCTCTTTACTCATTCCATAATACATCATCTTGTAACTAACTCATTAGTCACTTTGCTTGCACGGCTTCTTATGATGTGTATTACCGGGAGGGCCCAGAGATACCTCTCCGATACTCGGAGTGACAAATCATAATCTCGATCTATGCCAACCCAACAAACACCTTTGGAGATACCTGTAGACTTATTTATAATCACCCAGTTACGTTGTGACGTTTGAGATCACACAAGGCATTCCTCCGGTATCCGGGAGTTGCATAATCTCATAGTCGAAGGAATATGTATTTGACATGAAGAAAGCAATAGCAATAAAACTGAATGGTCATAATGCTAAGCTAACGAATTGGTCTTGTCCATCACATCATTCTCCTAATAATGTGATCCCGTTCATCAAATGACAACACATGCATATGGTTAGGAAACTTAACCATCTTTGATCCACGAGCTAGTCTAGTAGAGGCTTACTAGGGACACGGTATTTTGTCTATGTATGCACACATGTATCAAGTTTCTGGTTAATACAATTATAGTATGAATAATAAAAATTTATCATGATATAAGGAAATATAAAATAACAACTTTATTAGTGCCTCTAGGCATATTTCCTTTAGTCTCCCACTTGCACTAGAGTCAATAATCTAGTTCACTTCACCATGTGATTTAACACCAATAGATCACATCTTTATGCGATTAACACCCATAGTTCACATCGCCATGTGACCAACACCCAATGGGTTTACTAGAGTCAATAATCTAGTTCACATCGCTATGTGATTAACAACCAAAGAGTACTAAGGTGTGATCATGTTTTGCTTGTGAGAGAAGTTCAGTCAATGGGTCTGCCACATTCAGATCCGTATGTATTTTGTAATTTTTTATGTCTACAATGCTCTGCATGGAGCTACTCTAGCTAATTGCTCCCACATTCAATACATATCTAGATTGAGACTTTGAGTCATCTAGATCAGTGTCAAATCTTTCATCAACGTAACTCTTTACGATGAACTCTTTATCAACTCCATAACCGAGAAACATTTCCTTAGTCATCTTAGGTAACTAAGGATAATTTTGACCATTGTCCAGTGATCTACTCCTGGATCACTATTGTACCCCCTTGCAAAACTCATGGGAAGGCACATAACAGGTCTGGTACACAACATGGCATACTTTATAGAACCAATGGTTGATGCATAGGGAATGACTTTCATTCTCTCTCTCTCTCTATCTATCTATCTATCTATCTATCTATCTTCTGCCATAGTCGGGCTTTGAGTCTTACTCAACTTCACACTTTACACTACAGGCTAGAACTCCTTCTTTGACTGATCCATTTTGAACTCCTTCAAAATCTTGTCAAGGTATGTGCTTTGTGAAAGTCCTATTAAGTGTCTCGATCTATCTCTATAGATCTTGATGCCCAATACATAAGTAGCTTTACCGAGGTCTTTTATTGAAAAATACTTATTCAAGTATCCTTTTATGCTATCCAGAAATTCTATATTATTTCCAATCAATAATATGTCAACCACATATAATATCAGAAATGCTACAGAGCTCCCACTCACTTTCTTGTAAATACAGGCTTCACCGAAAGACTGTATAAACCATATGCTTTGATTACCTCATCAAAGCATATATTCCAACTCTGAGATGCTTGCACCAGTCCATAGATGGATTGCTGGAGCTTGCACACCTTGTTAGCACCTTTAGGATTGACAAAACCGTCTGGTTGCATCATATACAACTCTTCTTAGAGAAATCCATTATGGAATGCAGTTTTGACGTCCATTTGCCAGATTTCATAATCATAAAATTCGGCAATTGCTAACATGATTCGGACAGACTTAAGCATCACTACGGGTGAGAAAGTCTTATCGTAGTAAACTCCTTGCACTTGTCAAAAACCTTTTGTGACAAGTCGAGCTTTATAGACAGTAACATTACCATCAACGTCAGTGATACGTCTCCAACATATCTATAATTTATGAAGTATTCATGCCATTATATTATCATTCTTGGGTGTTTTACAATCATTTTATAGCAACTTTATATCATTTTTGGGACTAACCTATTGACCCAGTGCCAAGTGCCGGTTGTTGTTTTTTGCTTGTTTTTTTACATTGCAGGAAATCAATATCAAACGGAGTCCAAACACCGCGTAACTTTTTGTAGATTTTTTCTAGACCAAAAGGAACCCAATGGGCCTGAGCTGCACCTGGGGGGGGGGTGCCCCGAGGG